TGTATTTTATTGATATAGATTTCTAGAGTGCAGTTATTTATATTGTATATTAATAAAAGTTTATATTAGCTTAATGGTGTATGGTGTAAGCAATTTAGATAGGAAAATCTGATTGGCTTTTTATTTATTTCAAAAATTCTTTGAACTTATAAGAGCCACCTCCAGCTTATATCACATATATCATATGTGAAATCGTAACTATTGTACATTGTTTTTTGACAAACACTTCACCTGTCGGAATGGTTGGCATGAGCTGTGAAAAGATTTATGTTGAAGATGTTGCCGGTAGGCTGTTAAAAGTAACAATGTTCCCTACAGTACGTACATTTATTGATCATAGTAATATTAATTATAAAATTAAATTAAATATGTAAATTATAGGCTTACTGGTCGTCAAGCCCGTTCCCACACATGAAACTCACTGCTCAAAAAGGAAAGACAAACTTCTTTACAAGAAAACTAAGCCAACACCGATTACCTTCAGTTGCACTCTGAATTGTATTTGTGAAGAAAATTATTTGTCAATGACTTATTAATTATCATTATAAGATAACTTTATTTTTTAATTTTATTATAAAAAAGTAATGTTTTTTAATTCTAAATAAATTATACTGTCATACTTTTCATATTTATCGTATTTATAGTTGAATTGTAATGTAAAATTTAGAAATATATGACTAATTTAATGTTATACTTGCAGTAGTTATTTGTACAAACTAAATAAGAAATTCTTAGTACCTAAGTAAGAATAAATAAATTATAATATAATATAAGTTATAAACTTATAACACTGTAACCGTATAAAACAATTAAAACATTTTGGTTTTTATGTCTACGTATTTACATAACATGTTGCAACTTTTTAACTTAAGTTTCACAGTTATTCATTTACATTTTATCATGTTTAGAGCGCAGATTTGTATGCGTGCATAATGATTCTGGTTGATGGTATGATATTCTTATTGGGCACAGAGTTTGTTTCATGACCAAGACCATTTAATCTATGAAATTTTGGTTATATATTTCGACAATTAACTCATTCTCTTTCATTTTAAGCAGTTAGTTTACTATTTTAATTGCATATTTCTGTTTTTTTCTATTTTATTACAATTAAATACAAACAATACAGTGCCAAATACAATCAATTTAATATTTTGACTCTTTTTGAGCTGTTTACGGACACTTTCAGTTTTCAATTATTTTAGTTTTTTTTTTCTAAAAATACCAATAAAATTTTATTTGTTGCTCAAAAAAGCTTGAAAACTTAATACCCTACTATATTGTTACAATGGCATTTGAAAAATATTAAAAATCCTTGGTCATAGTTTTTTGTTATAAGCATTTAAAGTCCAAAAATTGACAAAATATGGAAAAATCAAGAAAATTAGGTAGCAAATTATTTTGAATTAAGAATTCGCAAAAATTTTTCTTTTTAAATCTAAGATTTGAAAATGTAATACAAGATTACTCATAAGTTTGTCTACCTTTATCAATAAAAAAATCTCTACCGGACAATCAAATTAAATTTTTATGAGCGTTTGAAATTCAAATTTTTACAACATTGGATGTTCACTCGATTTCTCATGTAGCGATTTCCTTATTTTGTTGTTATTCATAAACGAATAAATATAGATACATGGAAATTTCACTGAATGTTTATATTAGCATTTCCTATACACCATACAATTTTGAAAATATTTTGACTCTTTTTGAGCTATTTACGGATATTTTCATTTTTCATTTTTTTTATTTTTTTTTTCTATGAATATTAATAAAGTTTTATCTGTTGGGCCAAAAGTGTAAAAATTTAATACAAGGCTCCTGATATATTGTTACAATATCAGTTGAAAAATATTAAAAATACATAGGCACAATTTTTTTTATAAGCATTTAAACATCGCATTTTTACAGAATTTTTCAAAATCTCGAAAATTATTAATCATCGTAATTAATAAATTATAAAATGTTTAGTTTTTATAGCTAAGGATTGAAAATTCATAACAAGATTCCACGTAAGTAGTTAATTCTCTTACCAAAAAATCTAAAAAATATACAATCACAGTTTATTTTTATAGTCATTTTATGTTCAAATTTGGACGAAATTACATATTAAAAAACCTAGTTATTTTGTTGTGATTATATAATATTATTCGTGGGTACCTACTTGAAACTTCTAAAGTGTACTATTATATATCAATGATAGTATCAGGGTTTGTTATTGATGTTGATGTTTAATGTGTTATAAGTACCTAATGGATATTGTGATAATGTGATATGATTAATTTGGAATTTATTATAGGTCAATTTTTTTTTTTAATACCATAGATATGTATATAATTTGTCTTAAACCTGGACTGACATACCGTCTTCGCTCAGAATCGTTTTTCTTATACAATGATATTGTATCATTGAATTCAAATTTAATACCATCCATTATACAGTGACCCACTTGTAACCTACAGTACAGCAGAGCGACATCCACTTACCCACCTTTTTTTCTATTGACACCAAGAAATTTAATACTAAATATTACAATTTAGATTTTTGGTAGACAAGCTGTTAGTTTGTCTAGATTAAGTAATCTTATTATTACTTCTTCATATGAATCACTGAATATGATGACTTAGGTAAATAATAAAATAAAAGTTTATGGAAATATTTTGTTCTGATAAATCAACATTGAATATTAATAAAATAGATTTTCATTATATTATAGTAGTAAATTTAACAACTTTGTTTGCTATGTTAGAAGTTTTTGTACTATCAATTGTACAATTACTGAATTTTGACATATTTTGTTAAATATTTAACTATTACTATTGATTATTTGTTTTTTTTTTTGTACAGTAACCTTAATTTTAGAATGAAAAAGATTTTACAATGATTGGTGATTTTTTTTTTTTGTCTCACCACCGTTTGGGGCAGTAAAACTGCTTCGATTTTCTTCAACAGTATCTTGTTTGATGGGAAAGTTGATCTAGTTTGTGCATTCGGGAGGTCAAAAAATTTCCAATAGTTTTCATATTCGCAGGGAAAAACTACATAAAAATTAAGGAAAACTGGAAATTTATGAGATATGATGCCATCTCTAATGATATTTTAAGTAACATTTCGGTGGTGGGTATACTTATCGACGATTATAATGTAAGTATAATATGTAACATCAATAACATATAGTTTTTTTTTTAATAAAACGTAAAACCGAAACATAGATCTAAGTAAAATAGGTACAATTATATTTACAGTTTTGAATAGGTACTTAAATCTAAATATGAATGAAATATAGTAGTAATAATAAAATGTTTAAAGAGACATTTTCTAGAATCCTAAAATTCTAAGACGTTGATTTCTTTCGATCGCCTTAAATTTTATTGAAGATTAAAATAAAAGGAAAACCTTACTGCAGGTTGTTAGTCACCTTAAGGCTTCAATATAAAAAAAATCGATTCTTTATAAAGAGGATTTTAACTGATAAGGTATTATTTAAGTGATTGGGCCCACGCCTAGTGCCTCGAGCCTTACATGTTTAAAAATGTTTGGGTATTTGTATTTTATGCTGCGTTATTGATTTTATAGTACACAGATACTGTTGTACAAAAATATAGCAACTTATTCCACGCCGTTAATTATTATGGAATACCTAGTTAGATGCAAATATGAATATTTACTTATAAATGAATACTGAGCGAAGAAATTCTACTAGGTGAGCACGATTATAATTTTAATTAAAAATCGTGGAATACCAGTTTAATGCGTTCAGTCATTTTTTATAACTTATTTATAGATTGACAAAATTAATTTTATTTGACCACACGATTTTCATTTTTGACCATAATTTTATTATCTATACAATACTGGTGAATGGGTTGTCTTCTTGTCGATTGAAAAATATAAACGACACAACGGGTTCATATATTAGCTAGGTATAAAAAATGGAGAGTCCGAAAATTTTAATTATGAAAAAGTAATTTATGAATTCAAGGCTAAAAAGTTTAGAAAAATTAAGTAATTTTTAAGTATAGGATTTTATGTAATGAGTATTTTGTTTTATTTTGTTGAAGTAATAATTAAAAACATACTATTTTTAACACGTCGTATTGACTTATTATTTTTGTATTTTAGTTTATTTAATTTTGTATGATTAAAATATTTTTCTTTTAAATACCTACCTAAATATTTATTAAGTAGGTAAAACTCAATTTTATTATAACAATAAATACTTTTCTTAATAAATTATTAGGATATTAAAAATTATATTAATATTATTATAGGTGTATAATGTATAAAATATAATCATTAACTGTATATTCAAGTAAATAATTATGAAAATGTATCTCTTAGTTTATGTCTTCTTTGGTGGTGAGTGGGAGTGTTAAATTTGCCATAAATTTAAGGCCTCGTGGAATGAATTACGCCAAGGTCCTGGCAAAACCCAACGCCGGCTCTGAGTGGGTCACTGTAAAATGGATGGTATTAAATTTGAATTCAATAATATTATATCTTTGTATACGAAAAACAATACTGAGCGGTGACGGTTTGTCATTGTGGATATTTTATATTATATTATTTTATATTATTATTACTTATTAGTTATTATTAATACGGTAGCCGGTAAGTCGAATTAATATTATAAAATTACAACAAAATAACTAAAATCGTCATCCGACTGTCCACAATAAACTAGTATAGAATATTGGTAGGTATATAGACAAATAGACAAAATTATATTACTAAACACCAGGTCTTGGGAATATTTTTGGAGTTTAAAATATTTTGAAGGCTTCCGAACATATACAAGTTCGTATTAATTATAGAATTTCAAACTTAATTTGACTTTCAAACTCGAACTGAACACCTATAGTTTATACTAATACCTATCACGACAGTAAACAATTTAAGACAATATTATAGAAAATTAAAAAAAATTTTTTTCTAATCGTGTTTACTTTCTTACTATATTGTATACCAGTTGCGTCATAATATGTTATCTAAATTAATAGTCAGTCCAGTGTGCTAAAAGCAGCCCCGTAACAGAATATGCCCTCTTTGGGCGTCGGCATATGCCCGTAAAAGTCGGACGGCTTTTGCGCGACGCTGCGGTCCGGGTGTTCGTATTGCACGCGCTCGTACAGCCTGCGCTTCCGGCACTCGATCTGGACCTTCTTGAACAGCCGCTTGTCGATCACGTCCCGGAGCGTCTTGAGCGGGCGCGGCGGAGGCACCCTCGTGAACGGCGGCACCAGCTGACCGGTCTGGAGCAGCAACATCAGGCACGTGACGTACATGGACCGGTCGGACAGCTCGTCGTCGTCCAGCGTCATCTCGCCGAGCGCCTCCAGCCACATGAGCACTTTCCTCCGCTCTTCCGGCGACATGTACTGCGCCAGCGTTTTCACTAGCTGCCGGTCGCACGCGAAATGCTGTTCCGTCTTGATGCACCCGTTGGGCAGGCACCCGGGCGGCTGCGCGCACTTCGGCTTCGCGTCCACCGCGTGCCGATCGTCGGTCACGGAGCTGTAGTCCACCGGCGGCCGCTTGCCGAACATCAACGGTTCGCTGCACACCTTCGACGGCTTGCCGCTTTTCGAGTCGGTCGACGGATTGCTTCCGCTTTTCGCGTCCATCGACGACCTGCCATAGCTTTTCGCTTCCGACGACGACTTGCCGCCGCTTTTCGCTTCCGCCGACGACGTCATTCCGTCTCTCGTCGTGGACCTGGAATTCGACCGGCTCATTGCGCTTCAATTTATGTCGTCTTGTCCAATTTTTGGTTTGTTCGTATAGGGTTGGGTTGGTTACCTATATAGATATTTTGAGTTGCACTTTTATCGGCGATTTCTGTAATCCAGTTGGTAAGTGTTAATGTTAAAAACGTTTTAAAAAAATGAAATTTGTAATTTATTGTCACAATGACTGACTGCGGTTTTGAATTCGCGTCATCTTAGTGTATTATTATGTTGTTAACTAAACAATAAAACACACTATACTATTAGCCAATTACTAAATATAAATATTTAATCAACCTTGTAAAGTTTTAGAATAAAAGTATTCAAATACTTCTTTTTTATTCGAATACTATTTTAAATACTTTTTAAAAGCATTAACTCGGAATAATTTTTTGTTCATTTAAAAATACTTTTTTTGTACCTACTCAAAAAATAGTTTATATATTTTGTGACAAAACAAATTTTTTTTTTAAAAATCGAGCCCATTAAGTTATAAACAATAGTTTTTCTCTTTTAATGAAATATGATTGACCCACTTTAATTTTCAACCATTCCAAAACTTACAAATATTAGAGGGGGGAAACAATTTATTCAAATAGTATTCGAATACTCTAAAATGTATTCGAAATATTTTAATTCTCATTTATTTGAATAGGTACGTATTTCAATTACAAAATAAAAGTATTCTTTGCAATAAGACTGTAAGTCTGTACCTACCTATATAATATTGTGTGTACCTCTGTCCTCTATGCCTAATGAAACTAACTAATAAATAATAATTATATAAGTACCTGAGTATAATATATTATAGTAACTACTAAGTACACACTTTTTAAACCCAAACACAAATGCATCTATCAATAATATTATAAATCATTATTCATTGCATAGGTGTAGGTGCTACCGAAGAAATACGGTTATCTGTCCTTGTTTCTAAGTAGGTAGGTATCTTTTAATAATTTATACTTTATATTGTATATATTTATATTGCTATTCGTCATTGGTTTTTCAATTATTTATACGGTACCTATAATAGGTTGAAGCGTTGAATCGATTATTGACAACAACAAATGGCATGCATTAATATACTATTAAATATTTAAATATTATAACACAGTAATACATAATAATATAATATGCGTGCGACGTAAGTTCCCACACGAGATATGACTCTAAGCAAGAATCACACTTGGGTGATACGTAAGTTCCCTCACGAAATAAATGCACCATAGTCCATATATCCATATAGTAGGTACTTAAAGTTCCCTCGAGAAAAAAAAACTATAATTACTAAGTAGGTACGCCTAACAAATACAAATTGCCTTCCAACTTTATTCAGACTATTAGGAATGACAACCTAAATGTAGTTGGTGGGGTTAAAATTGTTCTAACAAATTGTAAGTTGTCAATCCGGTTAGTAATTGACTTAGGGCTAGGAAATGTATGCATTTTCATAGTTCTTAGGAAGCTGCATATTCAAAATAAGATTCGATACAAATTTATAGTTTCATAATAAATACAATCGAAATACAAAATTTAAGGTAGGTATGTTGCACATTTTTGAATATTTTACTACATTTATCTGATTTTGCATATTTTAACATTTTACGCATATTAATGCATACCTATTATGTTTATAAATCGACAACAAATAAATTTTTAATAATTTAAATAATTAAAAAATAGAGAGCAGCCGCATCAGACCTTGTCTATATATTTTGAATTTTACTATACCAGCTGTACCGAACATTAATTGTAAATATTTATTATGAATTATGATCGACCCAGTCTTATTTAAAATGTATTCAATGATAAAAGATATTTTAATTTTAAATAAATTTAATAACACGATTTAATATTAATTGCTGTATTTGATAAATTTGACATTTTTCAATTTAGAACTGAGAATAATGCTTCAAGATCTACAAACCAAAAATAAACACAACAAAATTGTAATTAAATGTCCCGATGGACTATAATTGACAAAGACGCAATTATAGAAATTAAGAGGGTGCAGCAACACCAGTCGTTTTGTATTGAAGATAGTGCGTTTGTATTTCAAATGCTACGAAATCAATAATAGTCGTAGACTCATAAGTAATACATTTTTTGAAAGGTGGTAGTTTTTGCTTTGTTTTGTTGGAATCAGATATTTGATATTGTGATTAATTATCTAAAATATAAGCAAATCAGTATTTACAAAATGGTCTTTTTTCTATGTCGTAATGCTCGCTTGTTAATACTATTTTCAGAAATCGGTTTCCAACAAAACATAGAAAAAATTCTCCTCTACAATTTTTGTAATAGGTATTTATACTGTAAAACGCATCACAACGCTGTATTACTTGAATTACGAAACCATGTTTTTCGGTTAAAAAAATACGCTCGTCATGTGCTGCGCCCATATACAGCGGCAGCGTTCATTACTAGATGTTCATATACCATCACCCCGCGCGCGATAACGGCAGTACCCCGAAAGTCAAAGTATAAAGGAGTATTATACTGCGTTATACTGAATGTTTTTATCAGTGGCGGTTCTGGTAGTATTTTTTCGGTGAGGCAACCTATGTATCCCCCCCCCCCCCCCCCATACAAAATTAGAATTCACAATAAATGTAATTTAAAAACATAAAAATAATTATAATTGTATGAATGCTAATAATATACTTGTTTCGTATAGTAAATAATATAGTAAGTGATAGATAGGTAATAAACAGAGCATTTTAAAATTTGGTAGTTCTGAAAAGGACCTTTTGAGTAGGCCAACAAAACATTTTTTGTATATAATGACTCCCACATAACCAAGAGTGTTGTTGATATAAATTTGGATTAAATGACCTACAGAATACCTTACTTAGATTCTTGTCAGGAGCCAAAGCGGCAAAGCTTACAAAATCGGAATAGGCTTACCCACTTTTAGCAAATCATTTTTATTATCAGAATGCCATCGTCGAAACGGGGTCTCCATTCTCCAACAACATAACTACCACGTCTGTCACTGGATACGTCATAACTCCAACAGTAATTAATTTAATATTGTTTATTACAAAAAAACTGCAGCGTTATTTTAACGTAGACGTTAAGACGAACCAGAACCACCGAAAAAGTGTAAGACACAACTACAAAAGCGACTATTCGTACAAGACGTCAAGACAGAAATGACTAATGACAAATATAAAATTATTATCAATAGATATTACAACGGACAACGGTTAATTAGGAGTATTGGACTGTCCCGAGTCTCGATTGTAACAATAACATCTTTACTGATAAGTGATAATGTGTTTTTACGTTGAAATGACGGCTGACTATATATTCCTGTATACCGAGTCCAGTGCCGCAACTACATAGTAAGGGGCCCGTGTGCGATATTTTTTTTGGGCCCCTTCCTAAATTAATTTTTATTGTAAGTATTACAATCTATAAGTGCCAAAATTTTTAGGTTTTATGTATACTAACATGAATATATTTTTTTTGGTTCCTACATTTTATTCAATCTGTTTGAAAGAGAACAATAAGAATTATTAATGGTATAGAATAAGCTAAAATAAATAACTGATTGTTTAAATAAATATCTTATTGCTCTTATTATAGGAAGTATAAAAATTAACAGCCTTGCCTAAATTTTTAAATGACTTTTTATTATAAGGTTTTAATAAACCCAAAATTTAAAACTACACAATTTTTTTTAAACAAAATATTCAAATTTTTAATGTAAAAAATTCATTTTTCTGGCTTTTGTGTTTGCAAAAATATTTATTATTATATTGTCTACATCTATTTCAGAAGTTTGCAGCCTTTCAATATTAAGTAAAGCCAAGCTTGATAATCTATCTTGTGAAATGGTACTACGTAGGTAGTTCTTTATGAGTTTTAGTTTTGAAAAAGACCTTTCAGCAGAAGCAGAAGTGACTGGCATAGTTATGAATGTCATTGTAGCCGTAAATACATCAGGAAAAATAGTTGATAGATTTTCTTTTAATATAAATAATGATAGATCTTTTATTGTCATCTTTTTAATGTCACTGTTATTAGTGGTATTATCCTTTGAAAGAAAAAAATCTTGAAGACTGACTATTTGACGCGTGAAGTCACTACTAATATCGTCACGGTACTTTTCAATAAAATCATAAGTTGACTTAATTAAAAGTTAATTTATTTACTTAACCTTAAACAATTAAACACTAAACAATTAACTGATAAATGATGATACTCCGAGCAGTCGTTAGTTACTACTTTACTAGTACCTAAGTCAATATTAAGCTCAGTGCTAAGAACATAATAATTAAAAAGTAGGTATCGTCAATATTCATCATTAAAATTACAAAATATATTTTATATTTATACCAAAACCATCAACTCGAACAGTCGTGGTCGTGGTCGTGGTCGTCGTATCAGTCGTATCATATTGACATTTTAATAGTTTATAAATAAACACTAATAACATTACCGTCAATCGAGGTGACTTGGAACGATTTTGACATATTTCTTGTTATTCTGAGCTTAAAAAAAATCGCACTGGACTACAAAAAATACATAAATGTTTGCATACGTCTCATGAATAGGATAAGACCTTTCATTTAGTTTTTTGACCAAAACTGGGCTTAAAAAAAAGTAAAAAGTACGTGTTCCAAGTCACCTCAATTTTTGGGTGACTTGGAACAGCTATGAAAATTTAATGTGAAATTCAATTCAAGAACGTTAGAGGTGACTTGGAACAAAATTTTTATTTTAAAAATTAACACAAGAACATGTTAAATAAATATTAAAAAGAAACAGGTTAACTTTACCTTTTTTTAACAGTAAACTCAATATTTAAATAATAAAATATCAATAACATGATAAAAACAAAATAAAAATTCTTTCTAAATAGAAAAACATAACTAAATAGTTCTTCAAAATAAACTCAAATACATTTTAAATATCATCGAGGGCCTGTTAAAGTGTTTCGTCACTGTCATTTATATATGTCCGGCTACCCGGTATACGCTCGTATTTGTTTGGCATTT